GGGGTACCCTGGACCCAAGCTGTCAGCCCCCCAGCAGCTCGGCCTTGGGTTTCCATTGCCTTGCCCTATCGGCTGGGCGCTCCGTGGCCCTCAGCAGGCGGCAAGTAAAATGCTGTTGAGTTGCACCCAGCAGAAGCCGGGGGGGGGGGGGGGGGGCCAACACCGAGTTTAGGTGGAAGCGTGGAAGCGGGAAGCGTCAGCCTTCTGTTGCCTTGACGATGGCAGCGCGGCCTGTCTTTTCGTTTGCCTTCTGGGGAGAAGTCTATGGAGACCATGAGTCTCCAGGTGGAGGAGGAGGAGAAGCAAGCCCATCCGGCCGGGCAGTGGGCTCACGTTTAATTATTTGACCCAAATTAAAACCTCGTTCCTCAGCAACACGGCCAGATGGCGAGCACTCGCAGCCACACGTGGCGGCCGCCTTGGACCCAGGAGAGAGCGCTGACATCATCGCGGGGAGCTGCGCGGGGAGCGCTGGCCGGCAGTTTGCACGCACCGGACGCTGGAACTCACGGGCTCCCAGCGGGCAGTGAAGAGCAGCTCAGGGCAGAGTTTTCAGTGTTCCGGGGGCCGTGTGCACGCAGGGGCCCCGGGCAGACTCCACCAGGCCCCGGGCCCTGCACCCCGAGCTCCTCCAGCCTCCTGCCTCCTCCGGGAAAGATGCGCCAGCTCGCGGCTCGGGCCGGGCTGCAGCCCGGAGGGATGGCTGCGCGCGAGGCCCTTCGCGGTGGAGCCCACCCGGCCTGGGCCGCTTCTCTCCGTTGTCTTGGTTCCCGCCCACCCTGACCTGGAAGGACTCCCAAGCAACAGGCCAGCCGGCCCAGATCCTAACACGTCAGCCCGCAGCAGTCCCGGGGCAGAGTCCGCTGGGTTGTATTTATTTAGGAACAGCCGAATGGAGGGGCAATAAAAAGCAATGGAGGGGCAATAAAAAGCGGGGAGAAGGTTCCGGAGAGGAATGCAGCCCGCCCCAGGCTCGGAATCCGGAATCCGTCCTGCCCTGGAGGCTGCAGCAGCCAGACTGGCCGCCTGGTGGTCTCGGCCAGCTGCCTGCTGAGCTGGCAGGGACGGGAGCAGCGGCCACAGGAGGTCAGGGGGAGGGGGCTCCTTACTTATAACTCAGGGAAGCCAACCCCAGTGGTTGAGACTTTTAAAGTGAGAGGTTGCAGGGCCCCGGAGCTGGAGCTCTTGGAGGAGGAATGGTGGATGCCTGCGTGAGGGGAGGGGCGGGAGACGGCCTGAAATCCGAGCCCAGGCCCCAGAAAGTGCCCCTGCAGCACCCCCCCCCCCCCCGCCCTCCTCCTGCCTCCGCAGGGCCCTCTCCTTCATGGGCACCCGGCGCAAGGCCATGTCCATCCTGCGACCCCTTCCCGAGGCCCCTGCTGCCCACGGCAGTCCCCCCGGGTGCTCGCTCCTTTCCTCCGGGCCTGCGGTGGGAGCTCAGGGACCCAGGGACCCTTTCACTTTTGGGTCCCCTCCGGGGGGTGCGGGAGGCACAGATGTGCTTCCTGGAAGGGGGCAGCCCTCACTCTTCCTCCCTCTGCCCCGGGCCCTCGAAGGTGATGGTGGCATCGCCAAGAAAGGGCCGGGAGTATGGGAACCCGGGGGCAGGTCTGCGGGCTGCAGGACAAGACGCCAGCTTGAGCGCCGCCTGGAAGGGGCTGGGGGGCAGGTGTGCCCACCCCAGGGCGTGGCCAGGCTGGGTGCGGGCGCGGGGCCTGGCTGGTACAAGCAGTTTCCGGGAGCTGTGGCCTCGGGGACAGGGACCCTGCCTCCCTGGGGCAGCATGTGTCGTGGGTTCGTGGGTTTGTTGGTTTGTGGGTTCGGCGTGGGAAGAGCTGTAGGAAGGGAGGCCGGCCCCCCGCTGGGACCACTCGGCCGTTTACTGGGCCTGCTGTGCCTGGCGCCCCTCAGACAGGGAGAAAGCTCTGCAGAATCCAGAGCCCACCAGTGCTCTGGGGGCTGGAGCCACGTGGGAACCCGCTTTGGGGATGGGGGCTGGCCTGATGCAGTGAGCAGCCGGGGCCTGGCCCCCCTCCCTGCCTGGCCTCACCCCACCTCCCCGCCGGCCTCTGCGCTGGCTCCTGACTGACTCAGGTCTCCTCCAAGCCCATCGGTGCTGCCAGGTTTTTGGTTTCAAATGATCCCCCACGTGGCTGGGATGCTTGGACTGTTAGGCACGGCGGGGGGAGGACCTCGAGCCAAGATCTGCTGGGGGAGACCGAGGGCCGAAGCTGCGCTCAGCAGCTGCCCCGACCGCAGCAATGAGAGCTGGCGTGAGCTCGCCGGCGCCGGCAGGAGGCGGCCAGGAAGGGTGAGCCCGGCCACGGTGGCCCTCGTCCCGCCCACCACCGGCCGCCTCCGGAATCGGTGCTGGAGAGACCCTTTGGCACCAAAGGGGTTTCTTTATAGGCCTTCTGCAGTTTCTGAATTTAATACAAAGAACATGTTACCTTTATAATCAGAGAAACCAATAAGGAAGGTTTTTTAAAATCAGAAAAGAGATGAAGTAACCCAAGAAGTTCCCACGGTTCCCGTTGCTACGTGACTTACTAACTGGTTTAACGTTGAGTCTAGAAGGAACGGTCGTCAGCAGGAAACGTCACACGGGGGACGTCGGCTCTTCAGTCCATGGCTCCCACGCGTGGCTGTCCTGTGGCTGCGCTAACGCATGTCCACACGCTGGGGGCGTCGTGTCGTCTCACGGCGCTGGAGGCCGCGCTCCCTCCGCAGGCTCTAAGGCAGCGGTTCTCAACCTGTGGGTCACGACCCCTTTGGCGGTTGAACGACCCTTTCACAGGGGTCGCCTAAGACCATCCTGCATATCAGATACGTACATGACGATTCATAACAGTAGCAACATTACCGTTATGAAGTAGCAGCGAAAATAATGTTATGGTTGGGTCACAACACGAGGAACTGTATTTAAAGGGCCAGAAGGTTGAGAACCACTGTTCTAAGGAGTCCGTTCCCGGCCTCCTCCCGCTCTGGGGGCTGCCGGCACCCCTTGGCTGGTGGCCGCCTCCCTCTGGGCTCCAAGGCCAGCATCTTCCCATGGTCCCGTCTCTGCTCTGTCTCGCACCCCTTCCACTGCCTGGCTGTCAGGTCTCCCTCCGCCTCCCTCTTATGTGGGTCCATGGGATGCATTGAGGGTCCACCTGCAATCCAGGATCGTGTCCCCTCTCAGGGTCCTTCGCTAAGTCCATCTGCAGCGATTCTTTCTCCACGTGAGGCTCCGGGTTCCAGGGATGTGACATCACGGGGCCGTCGTGCAGCTCACCACAGCGCCTGAGCCCGGCTCCCCTTGGCTGAGACACGGTCCCACCTTCTGTCCCGTGCAGCTGCCTTTGGGGTGTCCTCCAGCTCTGCTGAGGGCGGGCGGCGGCTGTGCTTGTCTCCCAGAGTCTGAGAATTGTCCCCCCCCACACACACACCCAGGAAGATGCCCTTGTTACTGGGCAGACTGCACTTGGGGTCTTGTCCTGGGCAGGAGGGGACGGGGGCTTGGTGCCACCCAGCTCAGGCGGCCGTGGCGGGCAGGATCCGCCCACTCAGAGGCCGCCCGGGAGGGACGGGCAGCAAATAACGAAAATGAGCCAAGGGCAAACGGGGAGACGTGGTTTCATCTCAAAGGGGTGGCACCTCCGGCCCAGCCCACGTGGCCGGGCAGGGCTCAGGGCTGCGGCCACAGGCCCTCGCCGTCCCGGGAGAAGCGGAAAGTCTGGAGTTCCGGGTGAAATCGCTGAGCGGCCAGCATTGGCACGTCGCACATTTCTTTGAACGGGGCCGGGCGAACAAACCCGGCTCTGTCTGTCCCCAGGGCTGCCCGTTCCAGCCCTGGAGGTGCAAGAAGCTTACAGAGCAGAAGGGGTGTCCCCAGCTCCCCGCCCCCCAGCCCCGGGGACCCCAGGCCCACGGCAGCAGCCCCCAGCCCGCCGGGGCCCTGCCCCCGGCCAGAGGCGCTGAGTCTGGGGAAATGGGCGGGCGGCTCCCCCAGGGGACAGCTGAGACTCACTGACTCATGCTGTGGTAGGAATCTTCCAGGAAGTCTGTCCCGCTCTCCCGGGCGCTGGGCGGGGCGCCGCCTCTGCCACCGCGGACTCGGGGCACCGGCCACGGCAGCTGCTGCGTGGGCTGCTCGGGCAGGTGCTCCTGCACGGCCGTCTGGGGTGCGGCCGCCCTCCTTCCTTCCGGCCGAGCTGGGTCGGGGTGAGGCCGCCGGGCAGCCGCTGAGGGCAGGCGAGGCCGCCCAGGACCCGGCTGCTCAGACGCCGGGACCAGAGGAAGCCGTGGCGTCGGGGAGCTGGGGAATGAGCGGCGGTGGACGTCGCCAGGAATCTGACGCTGAGCTGGCTTCCAAGAGGCTCAGGGAAGCTCCTCCAAGTGGATATTAAAAAGGAGCCGAGCGGGACTCGCCGGGCCGAGTGGGTGGAGAGAGGCCGCCGGAAGCGCCGAGCCACCGCCGAGCCTGGACACGGTCCTCCCTCCGTGGTCCCGCCGCCTGCCCGCCCGTGGACCGGGACCCGGGCCGTGGGAGCCCTTCGAGGCCCACGGCTGCCCTCGCTCCTCCTCCTCCTCCTCCCCTCCACCCCCCCCTCCTCCTCCTCGCTTTCCTGCTCCCCGTCGCTCCGATTTAGAGACAATGCTACGCGGCGCGGGGCACACATATGAGCAGCACATGGAGATGTGATCCGGAGGGTTCGCGATCGCAGCAGATTGAAGAAATTAGACCAGACAAAGGGTGTTTTGGAGGAGGAGGAGGAGGAGGAGGAGGAGGAGGAGGCAGAAGGAGGGAGGGCGACGGGGAGGAAGGGGAGGACGCCTCTGGAGAGGGGACCGGGACTCCACCCGCTGCCAAGTCTGTCGAAGTGATGGAGAGAGACCGGATCTCAGGTAGGCGAGCCCCCCGCCCCCAGCCTCCCTGATGCTTCGGGAGTCGGCGCCCACGGGTCACTTGGGCTCATTCTTGTGGGCGTGTTCCTCCTCCTGTTGACCATTCCGAGGTCGTGGCAGGTCATGTTCCTAAAGCGAAGCCCCACTGAGTCTCTTCCCCGCCCCCCGTGCCACTCGCTTCTGCACGGGGAGGCGGCTGGGACAGGCCGAGGCCCTGGACTCCGGGCGGGTGGGGGGACCTGCGCGGCGGCATTGGGCGGAGTTGGGGGCGCCGGTTGGTGGTGGTTTGCCCTCCGTGCGGTTTGTGTTGTCGCTGCCACCCGGTCTGTCTGCAAGGCCGCCGCGGTGTCCTCCCCGAAATAGCATTTTGGTGCCTTCCCGGGGCTTGATTGCAGGGAGGAGGTCCCAGTGCCCAGAGGAGATGGACAGACACGCGTGTGCGCGTGTGCGCGTGTGCGCGCGGCTTGGGGGTGACAGTGTCGTCGGGTCCCGTGCTGACCTGGGAGCCCTGGGATGGAGAGGGGAACAGTGGCCACTGTTACGAGGGACATTTCAGGCCAGAAAGATGAGCAGATGTGGGCTCTGCTCAGAATCACGGTGTAAAACATCTGCCCACACTTCAGGGTCCGGAGGCAGGGCAGGCGGCTGGCTCTCGAGCTGTGAGCGCCCAGAGACAGGCCAAGTGGCCGTCCAGGTCGGCAGCCCCCACAGAGCAGGCCCAGACCGTGGGGCCGGGACCCTGAGGCGGGCGAGGGCGGCCGGAGGAAGGGGGGAGGCTGCCCTGCCGGGGTCCGGGAGGAGGCCCCCTCTCCAGGTCAGGCCGGCCTCGCGTGCTGGGCTGTGTCAGCTCTGACTGCACCATGAGTGACTAACTCCCACTCATTGTGGCGTCTGCCGCTGACCGCGCAGCCCTTGAGCCGGGTGCCGGGTCCCCGAGCAGGGCTGTGGCGTCCTCGGGCAGCTGCCTCGCTCTGCGCTCAGGTGTCCCGAGCTGACCCCTGGGTCACAGTGAGACCGAGGGTGCCACCTCGCACTGCCGTGGCCTGGGCTGTTGTTTGCCACGGGGCATGTTGGATGAGGCCAGACGGAAGGAAGGCCTGTGTCCTTGGGCCGGCCACCAGAGTGGCTGGCGGAGTGTGTGCGTGGGTCGTATGGGTGCCCAGGCCGCTGGGCATGCACACACCGGCACAGCGGGCTGACCACGGGAGGCGGGGCAGCCGTGGACTCGGGCGGAAGGCCACCCGTCCATGTCTGAGCTTGGTGATGTGGGCCACGGGGGAAGACGGGGTTAAGGAGCTAGGGTTTCCTGTTCTCAGCGTGGCAGGGCCACGGGTCAGAGGCCACCCGAGAGGCCTGTGGTAGGCCTGGCAGGATGGCCACTGCCCTGGCCAGAAAGATGAGCAGATGTGGGCTCTGCTCAGGTCCTGGAGCAGATCACGGGGGAAACATCTGGTTAGCGCCCCAGGGCTGGTGGGGGGGGGGGGGGAGGCAGACAGCCCGTGTCGGGGGCCTCGGTCCAGCCTTCGTTTTAGATGACCGAGCCCGGTCCAGATGGTGACCACAGGGGACCAGAGAGCTGGCACACAGAGGTGGCGGGGGCTGGTCGCTGGGGACGCGGGAGTGACCGCCATGTCCTGGAACCTCCGTGCCCAGCAAACCCCAGGAACTCGGCAACGGCCGGCTCTGCGGCCTGACCACCGGGCCGAGGCCGCTCTCTGCCGGGGACGGCACGGGAAGGGGTGACGTGGAGCCTCCTCCCAGGCTGTTTGAGGGAAAGGCATGGCTTTCTATGAAACCCTCATTCGGATGCATTTTTATTAAACAAACAAACAAACAAAACAATGTCCTGCCGGCCGTTGTGGCTCAGAGGTTGAGCTTGACCTATGAACCAGGAGGTCAGGGTTCGATCCCTGGTCAGGGCACAGGCCCGGGTTGTGGGCTGGATCCCCAGCGGGGGGTGTGCAGGAGGCAGCCGACCCATGATTCTCTCTCATCATTGATGCTTCTATCTCTCCCTCTCCCTTCCTCTCTGAAATCAATAAAAATGCTGCTTAAACAAAAATGCACCCTAGCCAGTTCAGCTAAATGGTTAGAACGTTGGCCCAAAAACCAAAGGGTTGAGGGTTCGATTGCGGTCAAGGGCACGCACCTCGGTTGCAGGTTCCAGGCCCAGGTCAGTGTGTCTCTCTCACATCGACGTTCCTCTCTTTCTCCTCCTCCTCCCTCCCTTCTCCTCTCTCTAAAAACCAGTGGGAAGGTATCCTCAGGTGAGGATTAAACACAGCAACAAACACGAACAAACAAAACCTAAAACTCATTCTTTCAAAGCTGAAAAACTGGTTGCAGACGTGAATGGAAACGAAAGCCCCGAGCTGTTTCCCGATGTCCCTCGGGCCTGGTCGGACCCGACCTTGGTCTGACCTTGGTCTGTGATGGTAACGCCCAGTCACCGGGCCCTGGGAAGCGAGTCCCCCTGCGGCCCGGGCCTCCGTTTCATCTGTAAAAGGAGAGGTTGGGCAGGCCCAGCCTGTGGCCTCTGAGCCTGTTCTGGGGGCCCCTCCTTGCTGGGGCTCTGTCCTCGCCAGCACGCCCCTCTGTCTATTGGAACGGTGGCTGTGGCACCCCCACCCCCACACGAGCACAGGGGAGGTGAGCGGGGGCCGGGCTGCTGTGCACATGTGAGGGGGCTGCCCAGTGAGACCCCCATTGCCCACTTCCACGGGGCTGTCCCCGCGCATGCCCACTGGGCTGGTGAAGGCGTGTCCGGCCAGCCCTCAGCCACTGCCCCGCAGCTGTCCACGAAGGGCTGGCGGGGACGGCGAGGTCTGCCCACCCTCGGGAAGGGCCTGGGGCGGCGGGGGCGGCCTCAGGAGACCTTGGCTGCTGCCCAGGCTGTGAGCCGGGGCCTGGCCCCCTCACTCCCCCCCCCCCCCCACACACACAGAAAGTGCCTGAGGGCTGGGTCGGGCGGGTGAGTCACGCAGGACTGGCTGCTGGGACCCGAGGCGCTCCTGCAGCCCCGGCTGCGTTTC